TCTACAGATTTGGTAAGTGAGCGACCAGCGCTCTTTGTTTATTCAGTTTGTTTGTATCGAACAAACTATTGCACCGAGTGTAAACATGTTAGCACTACAACCAAACTTTAACCTCGTGTAGGGTTTTCACCGCATTTAGTGACCGGAATAACACACGTGGCTTTCTGACGCAACCTGCCGTGTGCATCTAAGTTTCCGGGAAATGCTGAGTTTTTTTTTTCTCTCATTTGCCGTGCGGTATCAAACATTGCATGAAAAATACACGCTTAGAGCAGTTCCTCGAATCAAATATCTTGTTTGTCGAGAGGGGCATGCATGAATTCCCTGAATGAAAGAGCCAAACTGCAGTAAAAGTCCACCATTTAATAATTTGGCAAATAATTTGACTACAGATGTCCATGTAGGTTAAACACCATCACTTTCTCCTGTGTGTGTGTGTGTGTGAGTATTTTGACTCTGAAACTCGCGCGTGCCCAAATAGACACTCCCACACCATCCCACTTTTCTTCCTCCGACACTCCCCCCCTAAACAGAGCTGGACACGCCCACTTTTCTGACTTTTTCTAAAGCAGAGGTGTGAAAACACCCTACTGAATCGAGGGGGTTTCATGGCCCTTTAAAATTACATTCTGGACCACCCCTTTAATACATGCATACTGCATGTAAAGTAATGTGTTTGCTAATTTTGAAGGTTTTGTGTTATTAGTTAGTAGCGTTTATGCTGTTTTTAATATCGTTTTACGCTCAAACAACTAAAGGAATGCTTAAGTTTATTTAACTGGTTATGTTATAATTACATTACAACATAGATGCTGTAAAATGAACATCTGAAATTAAAACAGTCACATAAACCTTTCACCGGAAGCTTATCAGTAGGGGAAAAACACTAGCTGTGCATACACCCCATTGTCATATTTATTGTGTGTTTTTTTGTAACTGAGCGGAAAGCGCACTTTCAGCAGTGTGGGTGGCACTGAGAGGATCCCTAACAGAAACTGCTGTTAGTGCGTATCAAACTTCTGTTTACCCCAAAGCAAAGAATAACAAAGATCTCCCATGTGAGTTTATCCTTTGCACATTTTTTGTTTTTGTTTTGGTAAACTTTCCCACGCTCTGCTGGCTTGGCTTTGTTAGACACTCTAGCATATTCTCATAAGATCCATGTGTCATGTCTTCTTTTATTAGACTGCATCTAGATGGGCTGAATCCGTTTTGCACTGCAGCACCTCAATGGCCAAAATGCTTTACAGCAGGTCCTTATATTTAGGTAAGATGAGATCCAAATAATGATGTGTGTTTTGCGGTGCTCTAAACTATCATATCATTTTGGTGTGAGGAAAACAGGATTTTAGACATTGGCTCATTGATCTTTTTTAATTAAGGAAAGAATACAGACTTAATTGTTTCATTACAGGATGAAGGATCAGAGTTAGGAATACATTTATTTAATAATTCATTAACTCTCTCCAGAATTTCAATTTTTGAACAAACCTCCTGAATGAATGATTTAATCGAAAAACTTTAACTGTTCATAACTGAATGAATCAGGTTTTTAAACAAATCTCTTAAATAAATGATTTAATGACTCATTTGAAAACTTCAATTGTTCATGACTGGATGAATAAGTGTTTTAAACAAATGTCTTGAATGAATGATTTAGTGAATGAATGAAATAGTAAAAACATTCCTAAATAAATGTATTTATTTATTTTCAAATTTCTCATATAAATGCAGGGCTTGACGCTTACTTTTTTTAGGAGTAGCACATGCGCTCCTAAGTTGAAAACTTTAGGAGAACATTAAACAATTTTTGAAGCGCAGTGAAAATGTATAATAAAAATAACGTAAAATAAATAAATAATAGTAAATTAAATAGTAAATAAATAAAGTTTTTGTCTAATAAATGTACATGACAAGATCTCGAAGCAAAGCTGTTTCATTCATTTGAATACAATAAGTACAATAGGTTTTATTTTACTGCAACAACAGCTTAAATAGTATTTAATAATTTTTATAATAATATATACTGTATCTTTAATATAAATATACTAGTAGCTAGATTGAAACACCTTTTCTCCACAGCACATAACAGAATGCAACTTTTTAAATTTTATTTGCATAACATGCTGCACAGACTCCACCTTACTTCCCCCATGGGAAAAGTATGATAATGTCAAGAAAGACACAACTACAAACTCATGTACAAAGCTGACAATGTTTATCGGAGCCCTAGCTGAATATGGGAATGCCTCTATGAATTGAATTTTCCTTCTCTCACAAAGTAATATCATCCTTTCTATTAAACTTTAATGGCCCTCAGCAACAGAATGATTTCTTATTCTTATTTAACAGTTAAAAACTATGTTTAGCATTTAACACCTTTTACATGAAATTGTGTTTTTTTTTCAGTGTTTAAAAAAATCTAAAATTAAATAAAACATCCACTATTTGTCTCCAAACTATTCTTGCATACCACTGACAGGTCAAATCTGCTCTCTCTCTCTATTGTAGACTTGGTGTTGCTGAGAGATTGAGATGCACCAGCCAGTTTGCGTCTAAAGTAATGCAAAATTGCAAAGTCCAGGACATTTTAGGCGATTTAGAAATTCTGGCTAAATAGAGGATATGTCCAGGAAAAAGAAGATGTATTGTCACACGAAATAATGAGCTGGGTCATTCTATTTAGTAAACAGTTTTTCTTTTCCGTGTGTCCTCATGCTCTTCTCAAAACTACTACCAAAGGCAGAACAGGTCGTTTTGGGTGTAGTGCATCTCTCTAAGTCTGCATCAGCTGAGCATGAGCGAGTCTGTGGCGGAGTATTCTCAGTTTCTCACACACTCAGAACTGGGCCGCCAAGGTAAAGTCCTATGTGTAGGTTGGTTTTGAATTGGGTATCACACTGGATGTGCCACGACATGCCATTACCGAATTGTAAACGTTTTCTATTAGGCTCGCACGATGTGCATTCGGTGCCTTACGTTGCTTAGCAATGTACACAAAACAATGTAAAGATTGCTTGACGTGAAGTAAATAAGCCAGTAGAGATGTGCCGTTGCAGATAGTGTCAGCGTGTGCTACGATCACAATAGATTTCCAACGTAATACACCATAACTTATTGTGAAGAGCATGTTGTTTTACCATGGCTGAGGGAATTAAGTCATTAATCAAGCTTATTCAATAAAATATAATAAAATAATAATAATAATAAGAATAATAATAATAATAATAATAATAATAATAATAATAATAAAAAAACTGCACATGACTAAATAAATTTCTCAGTTCAGACACATCTATTTTTAGTCGCAAATGCGAGTGAAATGGTCACACTGTCGAGCCCTGTAAATGGTCAGCATTTCTAAACAAATGTAATAAATGAAGGACTCACTTGTTTACTCAAAAAGACTTCTTGCATGAACAATTTTTTTTTTTGAACAATGTTTTTGAACAAATCTAAAGAAGGCATGAATGAATCAATGACTCACTTATAATGACTTGCTTCATAACTGAGTGATAATTCAACTACTCACTAAAAATCTCAAAGATGAATGTCTTAATTAAACCTAAAGACTTCATTTTCTTTGTAACTGCATGAAAACTTGTTTTAGAAACAAACTTACTAAACAAATTACTTAATGACTTACTCGTATTTCTAATTTCAGTGTTTCATCAAGTGTGACGACATGCAAGAAAGTACATGAGGCCTAAGTGTTCATCAGAGAATCGAACAAATCAGGTTTTAGCATGTAAAAACGGCAAAACTCCTGTTGTTTCTTTTGTGAAAGACAAAATATAATAAGACATGGCTGGACAACAGGACTACAAAAATACATCTGTTATATACAAGTTATTTACAGGTCAAATGAACAGACAATGCAAAAGGATTGCAGATTTAACCCCAGCACACCCTACTTTTTACTTTTCCTCAAGACGTCTTGTACGTGCAGATTCAAACCATGAAAATGGCACCAAACGAGGCTTTCGATCAAACTGTCAAAAATATACATGTATGTCTCTGATAACCTTGGGCTCGTTTTTTCCAATTAAACTTGCCTTCACTCTTGTGGAAAGATGCTGCCTGTTGGCACATCAGAAAACACAAAAGCAAAAGGATGCGCGCACACACCTGCACTCCACGCAACATAGGATCCAGACAGAGGGAAAAAATAAATTAAACTTAATTAGAAAAGTTTCAAGTTATGCCCTGAAGAAATGACAAAACATGTCACCATAACAGAACTCTAATATGAGGACAAATATCCAAAACCGCTGGTTCGGTTGCTATTCCTAGCATTCCAGTTCCTCCAGCAGAGCTGCGAATCACGTTTTATGCTCCAAATTGGCTTTGGGTCTCCGATGAGCATCTGCTAACCTACGAAGGAGCAGCTGGAGGCCAAAACGGAAAGCTTTATCTCTAATGGCAGCATCCTGGCAGCCGCTCTGTCCCAAAGCCTCCAGAGAGAAGCGGCACCGCAGAGCGGACAAGAGCCCCGCTTTGAAGCCCACATTAGGCAGGCTTCAGCAGCGCGACCCCTGTAAGATAATTATCGGTGCTACAAGGTCCAATTGGTCACGTTGCTAAATGCATTAATTAAAACGGTCAAAAAATAAGTTCATAAAATAACAGGGTCCCGAGCAGAGCACTTTCATCATATCTTCAAAGCAGAAATCTGTCCTAACTGATGGTGTGGAAATGAGAAGAAGGAAAAAAAAACGATCGATGTGTCAAAGAGCGCACCACTTCTGTCAGATCTAAGAGCTTGAGTGCATAAGCTAAAGAAAGTGATGTCGAGAAGGGCTTCATGAAATATAGCTGAGCTTCGTCAAAACCAAAACGACAGGGTTGACGAACGGGTGTTCCAGTCATTACTCTGCTGCAGTGCCAGGACACCTCATTTCACAAGAGAGCGCCAGGAAGACAAGCACAAAAGAGCCTTGCAGGGAAGGACGGATCGGGCTGTGAGTAGAAAGAGTGTGAAAGATTGAGTCATACAGTACCTTCAAAACCTGGACCTGGCCTTCATTGGTGATGTCGCTCAGGAGTTCACAGAAAGATCTGCAGAGGGCTTCAGCATAGTTCTGGAGAAAAACGAACAGGTGATTAAAAACAATCATTCCTGTTTCGCATGTAGGGCTGCTCTTTACATCAAAAGTTTAGAAAAATTGCAAATGTGGATTTCACAAAACAGTTGGGGGAAATTAGTATTGAGTACGACATGTTTTTTCCTGGGAATAATGTTTCTAAAGGAGCTGTTGATAGGGAATTAAACCATATTTTAGTAAAAAAAAAACAATACAAATGTAAAAATAAAACAAAAAAATCTTATGTGTAATAACAATGGAATGCCACAAGGAAAAACTACTGAACTACTTAAACGTTTTAACACTTTATATTAAATGTTTTTTTTTTGTTGATGGCAGCATAAAGACACCTTTCATATGGAGAATGAAGTCACATGCATTGTTCAGGTGTGAGTTTATCACTGACTTCAACAGAGTGTAAAAATATTGATGATTTTGTGGGTCTCATCTGGATTGGATTGGATTGGATTCAACTCAGCATGCACTTGTGCCGTTTGCTGCCAAGTGAGACACGGCTGTGGTGAGAATCAGCACCTCCAAGTCCGAGGCCATGGTGCTCCACTGGAAAATAGGGGCTTGCCATCTCCATGTTGTAGGAAAATCCATACCCCAGATGGAGAAGTTTAAGTATCTTGGGATTTTGTTCACGAGTGAGGAAAAGATGAAATGTGAGATTGACAGGCGGATCGGTGCAGTGGCAACAGTAATGTGGTCGATGTATCGGTCCATCATGGTAAAGAAAAAGCTGAATTGAATTGGATTCAAGTCATGTGTTTGATGAGCTATTCTGCAGCTTAATTTGCTTTCTCTGAAACCATGTGAGAGTTTCCTTGGCTGTGTTTAGATCATCGTCTTGCTGAAATGTCCATTCTGGTTTTGTCTTCCTCATTTTAGTTATGTAGACATTGCACTGAAGCAGCCAGTATTATTTTACAATGACGTAAGGGTAAAGACATAACTGAACAACATGAAGTCATTTCAGAGTGATTTCAGCTGCTGTTCTACATCTCCCTTATCTTCATGTGTTCAATACTTTTCTCTGAGTCATTTCATTTTTTTGCACAACTTTATTTGTAATCGTATTAGTTTAGTTTTTATGCATATATGGATTTCTTTCGTTGTTACCAACATTAGGTAAAAATTTCAAGTCAGCAGCACCTTTAGAAATATTTTTTTCAGATAAAAACAGTGATGTATTAACTCATATTATACAACAATTATTTCTTCCACTGTATGTATCACAATGGCTCACAATAAATAAATGATTTAATTCAAAAGTATCTTAATGTGCCTGTCATTAACACATTCTCAGAAAGAATATCGCATTATTTACTCATCACTTATCGCATGGCACAGCCCATTATGCAGTATGTTCAGTTCAATTCATCTTTATTTATACAGCAGTTTTATGATGTAGATTGTGCCAATGCAGCTTGACATTGATGAAGAAAATAGCATAAAAATCTATAACAATACTTCAGATTGTGGAACATTCCAGCGAATCAGGCAAGTAGGAGAAGTGTAGAGTAAGAATGATAGATGGAAGTTCTTATTGAATTATCCTGTGAGAATTAAATGACAAATTAGACAATTCTGTATTATGCCAATATATATATTTGGAAGAATATTGGAAGCTATTTACTTTAATTCTATTTTTAATCTATTTATATTTTATTTTTACTACTATGAATGTAAATGATTTCTTGTTTTAAAAAAAAATCTTCCAAATATCTTCTTTCAAAATGTTAATAACAAATGTTTATAAAATAAACATTGTTTTGTCTGTTAAATTTGTACTTTTTTGTGAATTATCACTTTTAATCACCATCTACTTAATATAAATAAGTATAATTTAAATAACTATCCCTTAGAACTAAAGATCATCATTTTTTAATAATCAAGAATAAATTATTCTAATTTGGTGGTTATGTTTATTAATATATGTAGTAACCACTGCGTCTAACAATACCCCTTGGGTGTTCTTTAATCACTGCAAATCACGGCTTATTGCATTCATAAAATATTAATACCAAAATGCTATTAAACAAAAATGATGCTCTTTGACTGTTTTCTTTCATCATAACATTACAGATATTGAAATGATTCCACTACTTTGAAGTTCTAACAGGAAAAATGTGACATTTTGTTAAACAAAATATAAATATAGCAGATGGCACACATGGACAAATACCTCGTTATCCAATACAAGTTTCCCAAGAAAACATCTTGTTTTCATTTCTGACCATTTGATAGATTTTTATGGTGGCCACACATTCACTTTCATCCCTGATTTACAGGTTTCAGGTAACACAAGCCCAGTTTTGGCACAATCTATTTGACGTATTGTGTTTGTTGACGTCAATAGGATTGGAAACAAGAATAAATAGCTTTATTTTGTGAAGTGGGTCACAGTGGACAACAACCATGCCCAAGCTTCACAACAAAGACCAAGACTAGTGTGTTTTTGCTCCTCAACAACATGTTCTTTCACATTTATGATTTTGACAATAATCTGTACACAGTTTAATAATAATAATAATAATTATTATTATTATTATTATAAATAATTATAAACAGAGTTATAATTCATTATAAGCATAAGCTTCACAGAAAGCATTTCTGAATTGTCTTTATATTTACAAGAGTTACTTGACCCATGTTTTGTCTACGAAAATAGGTCTTTGGCTATCATTTGGACATAAAAGCTAATTTTCTACTTAAAAAAAAAAAAAAAAAATTACAAAAAAATAAAGTATGATTTAAGCCAGTTTATAAAAAAACTGTCAAATATATAGTTTAAATGAAAGTGTGATTGTTTTATTAATCTATTGGAATATATATTATATTGCACATAATACTAAATCATAAAATATATCAATCAATTACACAAAATCTTTTAAAAACATTAAAATAAGTAACTTTTAATAGTGTTTTTTGGCCACGTGCTTTCAGAATCATTGATTTTAACCCAGACATGTTCTTTCTATGCATCTGTCAACATTTACTTTTTATTTCCATCTCATTACACTTGTGGTTACGTTCATGAATGAATTATAACTTAAATGATAAATTAAATTTCTTTTTTAGGATTTAAAAGCTTAAAAGCTATTGCAAAAAAAAAAAAAAAAAAAAGACTCCTGCAGAAGTCACTAATTATGCACAAAATTTCAATAACTGAAACATCACACACCATTCTGTTCAGATTTACAAAACATTCATCTTTAGAGGGAGTGCAAATAAGGTTATGCTCACGCTGTCGTTCCTGTCTTCTTTGAATGTCTAGTTATTTGAAGTCATTTTTTTTTGTGCCTACCTGTAAGAAATCTGTAGCTGAGAGATAAATGTAGGCATTGATGATCTGAAAGCATGTGCGTACGTTCTCCGAGCTCAGTTCTGAAATAGAGAAACAAAATAAGATTGATACCCGGGTGAAGCAATATCACAGAGCAATATCTCAGGGAGAAAAATAACAGTTAGGAGAGAACATGAGCACCGGCGGGCGAGACAGAAGCTGTGTGTGAAAAGACAGGAAAATGGTTACATTTCATATAACAAAACAGCAGTGTGGAGCACAGACGACTTAAAACACTGCAACTCTGACTCATCCAGAACTCCAACTCCCGCAGATGGAAGACAAGACAACAGGAAATAACTGCAGAGACAGACATTACACTCGGATATCTCAACTTCTGCAGACTAGACCAAATAGCAAGGTCATTTGAAAGAGGGATTAAGTAAATTCAGGGATATGTTGTTTTTTTGTTGTTGTTTTTTTTATGTACAAAAAGGCTGATTTATTTGATCAAAATGATATTTACATTTTAAAATGGTAAAATTGCAATATATTTAAATATATTATAATGTGATAGCAAAGGTGATTTTCAGCCAGACAACTCTGGCTTTTTTTTCTTCTTCACTAGATTCTGTAATTCAAAAAAATAAATTAAAAACTAAATAATTTGTCAATAAACTGTTGGTAAAAAAATAAAATAAGCATAGTATAATATATTAAACTAAATATTTGCATGCTATATGATTAAACAGTATCTGTCAAAAACTGTCACTTTTGATCAGCATAATGTTTTCTTAAAAAAATGTAATAACATGCAGATTATGTCGTTTGAGCATCGAAATCGCAGTGTGTTTATCTGCAATAGTCACATTGCAGGTATAGATTACCAAAATATTATTCTTTGAAAAACATTTACACAATGATGACCTTGATATTTTATCGTTGATAATTCAATTTCTATACTGAATACTGTTAGACTCTCCAGAAAACCACAAAGCACAGTTTGTTTCACTTTCCTATATGCTCTGTTGTTTTTTTATATGCTTGTAATTTATTGTGATTTATGCAAACGCACTGATCATCGACTTGATCAGCCCAATCAATCTAAATACTGTAGATTCAGATCTAAATCTAAATTCAGAGATCTAAATTCAGAACGGATTTTAAAGTATTATTACTTATCTATAAATCACTAAAGAGCCTAGGATCTTAATACATTACAGATATGCTCAGTGAATACAAACCTAACCGATCTTTAGGATTAAATCAATTAGAAATTTCAATGGATCAGTTCAAATGGTTCAAAGCAGGGTGAATCCACCTTCAGCTACTACACCCCTGCTGTAATCAACTTCCAGAAATGATCAGATGTGCTCCAAAATTAGGTACATTCAAATGAGCCCTGAAAAGTCATGTGAAATAAAAACTGATTGCATTGTGACAAAACCCATTTGCTCAAGCACACTGAGCAAGCTAATACACAATACACAGAAGACGTTAAATGAATAAGAAGGCATGTGGACAACACATCATCTAAATTAAGTAATTTTAGCATGTCAAAGTTAAATTTATGAATATAATATGTATTTTCCTAACCAGAAAAGTGGGGCTAGTAATGTTGGAAATCTACTAGCCACAGGGGTTGGTGATCAAAAAAGTTAATGTCAAGCACTGTATATATATATATATATATATATATATATATATATATATATATATATACATACATACATACATACATACATACATAAGTATTATAAGTATTTTACCACACACTGATTATTTAACTCTTCTGGAGTTAATACACAAGTATTGTGTCCTAATACAATTTAAAAATATTGAAAAAATAATACACGTTACCTTTTGTTATTTTGTGCAAAAATGCTCTAAATGAGTTCTTTATTATTTTAAATTCAGGAAACACAATGTAACCAGTACTTTACAGTATAGGGTTGTCACGATACTGAAATTTAGTACCAATCAATACTGCATAGTACTGTACTGTCCCTGTATCTGTGATTACACTCAGTAAACAGCATTGAGTTTGATGAATTGATGACCTTCACAGTTAATTACAGTCATTTCTGTTGAGGACATGAACACAACAGCAAATCAGCGTTGTTTAAGAGCGTGCTCAATAGCGCTCAAATGTTAGCGGGAAATTGACATTTTAAAAATTTCAGTATCAACTGGTACTGAATTCCAGTATCGTGTAAACCTACTTTACAGAATGACACACAACTATAAATCATAAATCCAGAGCAACCACAGTTTTCAAATGGTCTCTTTTTCCTTTTGTTGTTTATAGCTGGATATACAGTAGCAGTAGAGATGTACAGTATGTAGACACACTCGCTTTACAATGAATTCCATTTTTCTCCTACTCAAAATACTATAATGTCTTTGAATATGGTTCACCATGGAGACTTTGTAAGCTATTATCAGTATATATGTAATTAATTTTGATTAGCCCTTTCCCATTTTCCCTTTAGGGGTCTAGTGAAGCGCATAAACAAAGGTTACAGCACGCTAAGCTTTACAGAGTACAGAGATAACCATACAGTAATTACAGTAACGATTATATCAATACACACGGACATGAAAGCAAAATATGAGCAAGCCACTGCTCTACTTCTTATCCTGCCGTTCACTGCTTCCATTACTATAGAAACAAATTACGACCTTCAAAAAGAGTTTTAATTCATTTCTATGACTGATCTAAATGAATTCAATGTAAGTGAATTCTTGAAAAAAAAAATAAATAAAAGTGTAGTTAGTGACTTGAACAATGTTTTTAATATTTTAGATTTTTTGATCTTTTTAGAAAATGACAGTTGGTCAGAATAATAAAAAAACGAGTATTATTGCACCTAATATTGATCTCTTAACTCTTCAGAAGTTAGTCAGAAGCTAGTCTTTATACACGTCATCTATCCACGTATCATCTCTCCTCATTGCTTTAAACTATCTCAATTAAACCTCCTTAGAATACTTTTTGCAAAGAATTTTTGCAAACCAGCTGTTCTTGCTGAACTGTTGGCATAAAGCTATGGTGCATCATGCGACATGATGACTGACAGGAGCACTGAACCAATGAGCGTCTATTGGACCGTGTCCAATAGATGAATAAACGTCACCTTTTTTCGAAAGACCATGCACCCATTGGCAAATTTTTCCATCAGTCAAACCAGACAGTAAGTTATTGGCTAAAAGTGACTGACAGATAGCATATGCAGAACATCAAAACACTCGACTGCTTTTAGATTTCAGTAACAATAAGTATGACTTTTTATTCAGTTTATGGTCTCATTTTATTTGTAACACTGTAAGCTATGACATCGTCTTGTTTTTTTATTACAAAGACGCTGTTTTTGTGCACAAGTAGCATATTAACAAAGTAAACAACAGGTCTCCGGAAGAATCTGTGACATAAAATACCACCCATAATCCAACACTATTGTGTCGTTGGACTAAATGTGTTGTATGGGATGTTGATCTGAGGATTTTTACCTTTCAAAATAAACCATGATGTCCAGCAATGAATGTGTTTGTGTCTTGATATATCAAAAATAAGTATGTACTCTTTAGCTAAGTGTGTTCTGCACAACTTACACAAATACACCAAATATATTCTTTGTAAGCCTCCCATTAAAAAAACAACTAGCTGCATTGGCTGCTTGAGGGTTGTAGCTTTAGACTGATGTACAGGTTGTCAAGATTACTCGTGTTCTTTTAATGTAATCTATTTGTAAACACGGAATTGTTAAAAAAAAACAGCGCCCCAGTGCATTTATGTCCTGATGCTGGCTAATTAAATAATTTATATACATGTAAATATATATATATATATATATATATATATATATATATATATATATATATATATATATATATATATATATATATATGTGTGTAAAATATATATGTGTGTGTGTGTGTGTGTGTGTGTGTGTGTGTGACGGAGGCCAGGTAGCGAAGTGCTATGCAGGTAAACTCCTCTGACCTCAAAAGGTGCTCAAGCAACAGATGCTAAAGGCCATGGTCTTTAGCCTTCTTGTTAGAGTAACCGACTACCATGCAAGGAATCGCCGGTTTAATCCCAGCTCAACCTGGGTTGGGAACTGTAGGACTGGTGGGTTACATGTGGGGGCTCGTCCGAGATGGGAGTGAGGTTTAGGGGAGCGAGTGTAACGGAGGCCAGCTAGCAAAGTGCTATGCAGGTAAACCTCACTCCTCTGACCTCAAAAGGTGCTCTAGTGACAGACGCTAAAGGGCATGGTCTTTAGCCTCCTTGTTAGACCAACTGACTTCCATTCAAGGACCAGGTTGGGAGCTGACAAGCTGTAGGACTGGTGGCTTACATTTTTGTAGACAAATCTGTAGCTAATTTAAAAAATACTTACAATAACAGTCTAAAAACTAGTACACCTAAAAGTATATGTTATAGAAAAATATTAAATACAATTGTTTTTTTAAAAAAGAGGAAAAATCAAGAAGTAATTGAAAAAATATATATTTAGTTGAAATTTTGTAGGTTGTAATATGTTTTGCAATAATTTGATTTAATTTAATTTAATTTAATTTTTTTTAATTAATTTTAATTTAGTTGTAATATCTTTCAATTTCTAAATATGTTTGGTGACTAAAATATTATTTTAATAAATGTATCTGTTTAATAAATCAGTTTTGTTTAAATGCACCAAAATACATTGCCTACATTCACAAAAAAATTGATAAAAATATGAATTTTCAATACTCAATAATGCTGATCACTGTATAATTAAATAGGGAAAAATAACCAAAATCTTTTTCCCTCTACACACACACACACACACTCTGCTAGTTTTCATATATATTTTGTATAGTATTACTATAAAACTATGAACACAACCTTAAACACTTGAACTAAAACACAACCATGGCCTTTATCACATTAAAACTCTTTAAAATCATATTTTCATGCTATCTTTAATGAACTTCCAGGGGTTACTGTAAAAATCAGGACAGCGTGAAAGTAGAATGTCCCAGCTTCCCTTCGCCGTCGACCTTGCACAAAGCCCATAGTGACCTCAGACAAAAAACGGTGCAAAATGTCTCAAAG